TGAAACCGTTGCCTCCACAGATTCTTCTTGTGAATAGTTTTGGCACGCTTCCTGTGGACGATCTGATTGATGAGGATATCCAGGGGGTAAATCTGGTTGGAAATTCTATTGAGGTGGAGACCTCCTCCAGCTCCAAAAATTTTGAGGTTCGTCAACCTTCTTTGACTAATCTTAAAAGCTCCCCCTCTTCTTATTCTTCTACCAAGGTTTCTGAAGAATCAAAATCTCCAGCAAAGAAAAGGAAATCAAAAGCCAAGACGGACAATAAGGCCAAACCTCACAAATAATCATGTCCTTGCCTCCAATTGCTGCCTGGAATGTTCGGGGATTCAACAACCCCATCAAAGTCAAGTATTGCAAAGACCTCATTTCTCTTCACAACATTAAGCTTCTCTCTGTGCTGGAAGCCAAAATCAACCAATCTTCAGTTTTTGACTCTTGGTTTTCTTTCTCTCACTCCTTGTTTGAGAACGAGAATTGCTGTGATAATTTTAACCATTCTACGCCTGGTAAAATATGTGTTAAATGGGATGCTGCTCATGTCTCCTTCACTCTGTCTTTTTCCTCCTACCAACTCATTCACGGGCTTGTCAGGATTGGATCTTTGCCCCCATTCTACCTGTCTGTGGTTTATGCGGCCAATTCTATGGAGGATAGGAAAGTGTTGTGGAAAGATCTCTTTGATCTTTCCTCCAATTTAGACAACCCATGGATTATTATGGGAGATTTCAACTGCTATAGGTTTGATGGTGAAAACACTGGTGGTATCCCTTTATATATTGAAAGATTGGGGGAATTAAATAATTTTGTTTTTGATGCTGGTGTTCAAGACCTTGCCTCTGTAGGTCTTTGTTTTACTTGGATCAATCAAAGGAGTGACTCTCCTATTCACATCAAACTGGACAGAATATTGGTTAATTCTGCTTTCTTAGATGCTTTTTCGACTACATTTTATAAAGTTGATTCTTTCTCGGGCTCAGATCATGCACCTTTGATCCTCAACGCTTGTCTTTTCAGAAGAACGCTTTCAAGATTCATGTTCAAGGACTTTTGGATTACGTTTGATGACTTTTGGGAATTTACTCAAAAAGCTTTTGAAAGGAATATTACTGCTAGCCCCATTGCTTCTTTCTATGACTGCTTGAGATCTCTTAAAGTTGATATCCGTAGGAGAAATTGGAATTCCTCAAACTTCATATCCAACCAAATTCTTCAGCTTAAAAATACCCAACTGGTTATCCTTACTGATATCCAAAGAGACCCTCTTAACCTACTTTTAAATTCTCATCTTAAGGCTAATACTGACCAGCTTGCCCTTTATCAATCTGCCCGGTACTCCTGGATTTCTCAAAGGGCTAAAGCCTACTAGCTTTCTCAAGGGGAGGACGATCTGGGGTTTCTTTATGCCAAGAATAAAACAAGGAGGAATAAGAATGTTATCAAAGAGTTATCTACTCCTTCTGGCTTACTTTCCTCCCATTCTGATATGGCCATGTCTTTTACTAATCATTTTAAATTCTCTTCAATGCTCCCACCCCGATCTTAGAAAATTCATATAACTTACCTGTTGGTAAGTTAGCTCCTTCCCACCTTATGGAGGGCCTGGTTGTTCCTGTTACTAATGACGAGATCAAGAGGGTTGTCTTAGCTGGGGTCCCCTCTTCTGCACCTGGTCCAAATGGCTTCTCATTTGGCTTTTATCAAAAAAAAGTATGTGGCATTTATCTGGTTTTCTTTTATGCAGAGAAGTGAAACATTTCTTTTCCACGGGGCATATGACTAGAGGTGCTAAAGCCACGGCCATCACTCTTATTCCTAAGGGTACTCACTCACACTCCATCTCTGATTTTCGGCCTATCTCATTATGCAATGTTTTCTATAAAATTATGGCCAAAATTTTAGCTAACAGGTTGAAAGTCATCCTTCCCTTCATTATTCACGATAGCCAGTCTAGTTTCATTGCTAAGAGGTGCTCTATCGATAATATTATTCTAGCCTCTGAGTTGTTGAGAGAATTTAAAGGGCATAAACATCATTTCTGTGCTAAGCTAGACATTAGGAAAGCTTTCGATTATGTTTATCGTACCTTCCTTATTAACAGACTTAAGCAAAAGGGGTTTCCTGATATTTTATTTCCTAGATCAATGGGTGCATATCTGATGTATTTTTTTCTATCTGTTTGAATGGTTCTTTTTAAATCCTCTTCGGGGCTGAGGCAAGGCTGTCCTCTTTTCCCCCTCCTTTTCTGCATTGTCATGGATGCCTTTTCCTCCTCTTTGGATTGCAAGGAGAACAACTCATTTCTGGGTATGCATATTCAAAATTTCAAAACTAGCAATCTTATGTATGCTGACGACCTTTTGGTGTTTAGTCTTGCAACGGTGGAGAATGTCAGGTCCCTTAAGGAGGTTCTTCTTTACTTTTCTAAGGCATCAGGACTCAACATAAATCCCAATAAAAGTAGTATTCTTTTCTCTAAGAATTCTTCTTTTGATCATTAGATATCGGCTTGCCTTGGTATTTCTCAAGTGGATTGCTCCCTCACTTATTTGGGACTTCCTATCTCCACTTATAGTCTCAAAACTTCTCACTTCCAACCCCTACTGAGTAGGCTTTCTACTCTACTTGAAGTTTGGAAAGTTAAATTTCGCTCTTTTGCAGGTAGACTTCAATATCTTAAATTCACTATTACAAGTACTATTGCGTACTGGATTCGGGGAGCTATTTTACCTAAAGCTTGTTATAAATTCATCTCTAGAATTTGCTCTAAGTTTCTCTTTTTTGCGAATATCTTGGATAAGAAGATGCACCTTATCTCTTGGACGTCGGTGACTATGCCTAAAATCAAAGGGGGGCTTGGGCTGCCTTCTTTTGAATCTCTTTATCACAATATGGCTTGCTCATTTATATTTAGGATGTATAATTTTAAGACCTCTATTGGCTCCTGGTTTAGGGAAAAATATGACTCTCCTTGGAAAGTGCCTCCCAGCTATGCTTCGAAATTTTGGAAACCTTTTTGTAAAACTGCTGTGGCCATCAGGAATTCTGTTACTCTCTCGGTTCACCATAACAGTAATCTCTCCTTCTTTTAGGACCCTTGGTGTAACAAAAACTCAATTTCTGATTTGATTGAGGGTAACTGGCATTCCCATCTCTGGACAGGGGATTTTATTCTTAATAACCGGTGGGTTCTTCCTGATTACATTCCTGATATTGTTAAGCTTTCTATTAACAGTACTCTTATTGGTGGTGAGGGCCCTATGCTGACTTGGATTGGTGCTGCAACTCCCTCTAACAATACATTCTCTGCTTTTTTTTATTCTACTTTTGAGAATGTTCCTTGGTTTAAATTCATATGGCATAAAGGCTATGCTTTGCGCTATGCCTCTTACACTTGGATGGCTGTTAAAAGCAAACTTAAGATGGCTGACATACTTATTTTGAGGGGCATTCAGGTTAAACCCTCTTGCACTTTTTGCCTTGGCAACTTGGAATCCCTTTCTCATGTTTATTTTGAATGCGATTTCTCTTTCCATTTACTCACGGCTATTTTTCTTGATATGATGAAATTCTACTTAAGGCCGAATCTTTTGCAAGTTTTTGATTTTTTTGGGAGCTATCGGAACTATACCAAGGTTGATAAAAACTTCTGCTATTTTACTATTGTTGTTCTGGTATATTTCATGTGGAGGGAAAGGAATAATAGGAGGTATTCTAGTGTTTGGAGAAGTCCTGATGAGCTTAAAAAAGTTATTATTCATGCTACTGGTGCTAAGGCTAGGAATTGGAGGCACTATGAATTACTCAAAGAACATTTTGGTGAAATTCTAGGTTGATCAGCTTATTTTGGTTAGCTGGGGCTTTTACTGGACGTTGGCGTATCTTTTCCCCAGTCTATTTTGGATCCCTATGTGGGATGCTTTTGGTTGTTGTTGGGCCGAATTTCTTTTTCCTGTAAATTTTTGGCATCTCTGTTTTGATTGTTTTTTGGCTGGAGCTTTGGATGTCTTCCTTCCTCTGTCTCTTCGAGCGCTACTCGGATGGATGCTTGCAGAATTGGGACGATGATGTGCCAGATCTACATCTCCGATGCATCCTTGGACGGTCTTTTGGCAACCAGGATTGCGTCATTTGGGCACTGCGATGGCCCTTTGGGCTATGATGGCTTCGTGGGCAACCAGTGTCTCTGTTGGCTCTGTGGGTTCCTGTAATGATTTGGGCATTGATGCCTCTTGATGTAGATCTATTTTCCTTAGTCCTATTTTTTTGCAATTTTATTTTTCTTTTGGGTGGTATAGTTTTTCTTTACTTGTAACTTTTACTTGTAACCTTTGGTGATTAATATAACAGCTTTGCCCCCATTTTTCCAAAAAAAAAAAATTATTGCATCGAAAATGATAGCGCACCAATTACTGCAGCTGATCGTACCTTGTTGGCTGTGACTTCTATTTTGGTACTTTGATTGTGTGAAGTGTGAACAATACTTTGACTTTTAATATCAGTTAGGTTGACTCTTCCAAATAAATGGCCCAAAAAAAAAAAAACTTCATACTTTTCTACAACCCAATCCTATCATGATAAGTTTTAAAATCAATTTTATTAATGAAATTTTGGAAAATTTAAAAAAAAAAAAAAACTTTTTCACACAAACGATTTTTAGAATGGATCAAACCGGCCTTACTTATCCGGTCCAATTTTTAAAACTTTGATTATTTCATATTTTTAGCTTTGTTTATTTTATACTTATAAAAAAATTATAATCTAATGGCATTTATTGCTCACTGTCTTCCAAGCGGAAATAAATTTAAAATCCATCCACTTTGCCTTCGGATCCAACGGTTCGGAGTTGTTGAAATTTCTTAAAGTTTGGTTCAATCTATGCTCAAACTTCCCATTTAGACCTCCACCGCCCAACCGTTTCCCCATTAAAAGTCCTTTCTCTTTCTATCCCAATCTCTATCTCCATCTCTAATCTCTATCTCCATCTCCTCCTCTCTATAAATCTTTCTGTTCAATCCATCAATATACACAATTCCAACGTAACAAAAATTCGGTAAAATAAGCTGGCTTTAAAGGTATTATCCTTTTCCAGTTTGTTCACCGGGTATCAATAAATAGATAGGTAAATATAGCTTTCCTGCGCTCTGGTGCTCTGTTTTTTGGAGCTGGAAAAAGATAAGCAGAGATACAGGAAGTAGAGGTTGAGGAAAGGAGAGAAATAGGAATCATGGCTAATGAGAGATCCATGGAGGAGGGAAGTCCACCAAATTCTATAGAAGATAAGGATGGATCTTCAGCTGATAACGATCAGGCATTAAACATCTCTGTTCCTTTTCTGCATAAGGCAAGCATCTTCTTCATCTCTTTTTCTTTCAACATTTTTTTTTGGCAGATTTTATTACCTGCAAGTTTTATGTTGTTAAGGAAAAAAATTTAATAAAAACCTCATACTAAAAGAATGCTTTTATTGAATTTAAGCATTTCTGCTCCGGTTGATTTATTCTAACAGGCTTTGATGGTTCAGTTCTTTGACTGTGACTGCTATTATCTGCTTGGGTTTGGCTTCATTTTCCTCCTCATATTGAAGAATAGCCTTTCTCCGTAAATTTAATAAAATTTTGGTGAAAAACTGAAAATCTTCTCCTTTTTAGTTGTTGTTGCGATTATCAATTCTTCATTTTGTTAACATTCGGCTCATTCATACCTTTGAACCTCTTTTCTTTCATCATATAATTATCATCTTTTTCAGATTTTTTTCCCAGCTGTTAGGGTTGACTTCATGATTATTCTTTCTCCAGTGTTGATTTCAAGTTCCTTTTTTATCCATCCGTCACATGGTTGCATTGCTCTCATTTGTTATTTTTTTTTTATTTATGTTACCTTTAATATATCCTTTCTATTTTTATATTAATAACTCGCTTTTTCACACCCCATCTGACTATCATTGACTGTTCTAATATCCAACGCTCAATTAATACAAAATTATCTTGCATCGCCAGTAATCAAATATAATTAAACAACAAAATATAAAAAAATGCAAAAAAATATTTAAAAATAAGAATCTCAGCATCTAATTCACGAAATTGGTTACTTCTCCATTCAACCAAATAGGTAGATTTGGTTGTTGGGCAACATTAAAATTAATTTTTTAAGCCAATTACTGACAAATTCAAACACACATTATATATATCTAGATTTTGAATTCAAAACTTCTTAGTTTATAATCAAAACTATCATCAAACCCAGCATGATGAGCTACGTTTTTCTATATTTTTTTTACGGAATATGAATTTCATTTCTAAATTTTGTTGCAGATAATTGCAGAAATATTTGGCACTTACTTCATAATCTTCGCTGGCTGCGCTTCTGTGATTGTGAACAAGAGCACCAAGGGAGGTGTTACGTTTCCTGGAATATGTGTCGTGTGGGGCTTGGCTGTGACGGTAATGATATATTCCGTCGGCCACATCTCGGGGGCCCATTTCAATCCAGCCGTCACCATTTCCTTTGCCACTTGCCGGAGATTTCTATGGAAGCAGGTAGTCTCTCGCATTCGTTTGGACGATATATTATTGATGATTTAGATGATAAAATCCACTCAATGTTACAGGTACCTGCTTACATTGCAGCACAGGTGTTGGGATCCACCCTTGCAAGCGGCACGCTTCGCCTTCTCTTCGGTGGCTGGCGAGAGCACTTTCCTGGAACAATTCCGACAGGTTCAAATGTCCAATCTATGGTTTTGGAGTTCATCATCTCCTTCTACCTCATGTTTGTGGTCTCTGGAGTTGCCACTGATAATAGAGCTGTAAGTCACCATTTTTCTTCACAACAACATAAATTTAAACATTTTTTGCTGAGTGAGTTTTGTGTTGCAGATTGGAGAACTTGCAGGAATTGCTGTGGGTGCCACTGTGCTGCTAAATGTTGGCTTTGCTGGGTAAAATTTTACCATTTCCCTTTTAGTTGTGAATTTATGCAAAAACATGAAAAACCATCAAAAATTGGAAACTTTTGGTTTAGATTGGGTAAAATTCCGACAGGTTCAAATTTCTCATGTAAGTATTCACGTGCATATGCATTCGTAGTTTTAAATATAGGTCATTATTTGTATATGCATACATGCATTTGGGCAATGATTTTGTCTTGGATGAAATTTGACTCAGTTTTACCTAGGATCAGGCATGAGTGATTTGTAATAGATCAAATTTGAATTGAGCCTAATTCTAACTAGCCTCCAATTCACTTGAAATTAAATCTCTAGCAACCTTCTTGATTCTTGCAGTGACATATGAAAATTGTTACTAAATTTTCTACTTGTATTATTCAATTTTGATGGCAGCTTGATATCAGGAGCATCAATGAATCCTGCAAGAAGTTTGGGACCAGCAATTGTAGGGAACCGCTATGAATCGATATGGGTTTATATGGTTGGTCCGATATGTGGGACGATTACAGGAGCTTGGGCTTATAATCTAATTCGTCACTCAAACAAGCCATTGCGTGAGCTCACAAAGAGTGGCTCATTTCTTAGAAGCTTGAAGATGAATGGTTCAAAATAATGTATTGGTGTTTAATAGAAGCCAAATAGATTGGTTTATCTTGCTAGTTTTTCTTTTCTTCTATGCTTAAATTATATACTTGCCTGAAGCAAATTGTGGTTTAAGCTCCAAAGAAAGGACACTAGACTTGTAATTCGATGATTTTTTAATGAATTGATATTGATTTCTCAATAGTGAAAATAGTTGATTCTTGTGATTGGATTGATAATTTTTTATTAAAAGCATAAGAAATAACTCTTTTAGAATATTATGTCTAAAAATATGATGAGAAAGTAAGATGTTATTGAAAAAATGAAAGGAACTTGCTATGTTTATCAAAATAGTAGTATCGCCTAGCATCATGCAATTGAAGTAAATATCGTTATTAGTCTTATGATTATTTTTACATTGACATATTCTTTTAAATCTAAGATATGAAACTAAGGCTTCATTTGGGACAACTTTCTGACTGCTTCGTAAAGCGGCTTTCTAATACAAAAATTTTATTTTTTGTATTAAAAAGCTGTTTTACGAAGCAGGAAGAAAGTTGTCCCAAACGAAGTCTAAATCAATACTTTCATAAATAATAGAAGTACTGACAACCAAGTTATTATAACTTCTACCATTTTAGGTTGGGTTTAATTGTAAGTTGATTTATAGAACATGTAAGGTTACAGTTAAAAATTTTAAATTAACTCCAATGGATAAATAATATTAGTGTGAGTCCTCTTAACAAAATGATGAGAAGTACTTTACAAACTATGAATAACATACATTATTAGCTTTAAATATTCTAATTCTGAATCATGAAAATTCACCCTCTTAGTAAGGGAGGAATTTGATAATTCACAACTTTGATGTGAAGAAAACAAGAAGAATTAAGTTTTGGGATACTCAATCAGGACGATTGAATAACAACATAGTAGAAAATGAAGGAAAACAAAGATTTAAATAGATCAATTTAATTTACATACATTCATTCCAGAAGGAATTGAGAATATTTTTAATTGATGAACAATAGCACAATAATCTTTCTATTAATACTGAAGAACATGAAGAATCGAGAGGTAGAGGTGTCAATTTTTGGTCACGGGTCGGGTTCGGGTCGAACCAGAATTGACCCGGCACTATTCGGGTTCGGGTCAACCCGACCCGTTTTTACAAACGGGCCAATTTTCCGGACCCGAACCCGACCCGACCCATTTAGGGCTTAGGGTCACGCCGTCACGCGAAGAGACTCGGACAACAAACGGCGGACGGGCTGAGTCGCGAACGCCAGTCACTCGGACGCCGGCCACGCAAACTCCGCTCAGCCAGTCACGCGAACGCCGGTCGCGGTCGACGCCAGTCACGCGGACGCCGGACATAGGAGTGTTGACTGCGGACGGCTGTTTTCACGCGGACGCCATTCACGCAGACCGCGGACGGTCACACGGACACGCCGGAAGCCAGTTTGCGGACGCGATGGCGCGATGCGACCTCGGGTCAGGCGGATTTTCGGGTCATTCCTGATCAGTCCCGAGTTCCCGGGTCAACCCGAACCAGACCCGGTTTTGCAAATGGGTCGGTTTTCTAGACCCGAACCCGACCCGCTTCGGGTTCGGGTCAACACAAACCCGAAATTTTCGGGTTGGGTTCGGGTCGGCTTTTCGGGTCGAGTCCAATATTGACAGGTCTAGGAAGGAGATGCGTACAGGAAAAGCTAGAAGGAAAAGATATTATATTCAATGTTTTAGTACAAAGATGACCCATCTATATATAGAGTAGGAAGAGATGTGTAACCAATAATAACATGCCACGAAGAAGACTAAACTAATACAAGATTATTTATACTAATAAATACAAATAATCAAAAACTATCACTTAGATGCTTATATGTCTTGCCCCTCCTCCACGAGACAATCTTCTCTTTATATAGCATGCTTAATCTTCAGCGTTATATTGTGATGCATTTAATGTGACTGAGAAGAACTACTATCATGTTAGTCTAAGGTTTTATTTGGGATAGCTTTCATACTGTTTTCTAAACTCAAATTTTAGTACAAAAATTTTTTGAACTAGACATGCATTTTAACGAGAAAACTACTTTAGAAAGAAGTAAGAAAGCGACCCAAATGAAGCCTAACTTAGAGCATAGATTAGACTTCATTTGGGATGACTTTTTTATTTGCTTCTTAAAATAGAGTTTTAGTACAAAAATTTTTAAAAAAGTCATCCCAAAAGAAGCCTTAATAATGTACTTCAAATGCATTCTATAATCTTGACTAATTTTCTTAACATCAAATATGGTTTTAAGGATATGAACTTAAGAAAATCAGAAGGGATAGACTCATGCTTCATCTGGGATAGTTTTATTGTCCATTTTTAAAGCAGTTTTCTAGTACAAAAAATTCTTAAATGAAAATTTTTGAACTAGAAAGTCATTTTATAAAGTAGTAAAAAAGCTATCCCAAATGAAACCTCAATTATGAAGAAGGAATGAGTCATGATAGGTAGTGTCTAAAAGAAGAATTTGTTTGAGAGTTTTTCTTTATATAAAATGTTTCATAAAAGTAAGAGATATATTTAATGAATTTCAAAGACTAACTTATATAATATAAACTCATTAAAACTCTTATGAAAGATTTTACATTTTATTACAGATTTAAATAAATTTTATTATCTTTCAAATTTTTTTCTAGTTTCTCTGACTTCCAAAATAGTAATGTTTCATATAGAATCTTCTATGAGTATGGCCTTGGATTGAAAAATATGCCTAGGTGGCCCACTTCCAAGAAGCCAATAATATATCACATAGTAACAATATCAATTCTTGATATGTTTAACTAGTTATCCATTCAACTATTAGACATCCACTACAGGAAAATCTTTCATTACCGTCGGATGTTCCGACGGATAGACTTACGTCGAATAAATCGGCAAAATATATGCCTGTAACTTAATGGCAAAGTTTCTGCCGTTAAAACACTGGCACATATTCCGCCAGGTTTTTGCTGGTATTTAAAAGTTTTCCAACACAAATTTCGCTGATAATTACCGGCGGCATTACCAGCGAATATTGCACCGCTTACTTAAACTCGACGAATAGTTACTGGCGTAATATTTGCCGGTAAAATGATCGATAGATAATCCACCAGAGAGTTTGACAGAAAGAGCTCTTTTTTGACCCCTCCGCCTTCTTTCTTCTCATTTCTTTCTCTCTTCATTCGTATAGCTTCGCTCACGTCTAAGAGCTACCCCGAACGCGACTGGACCCTCGCCGACTTTCACCACATTGTTCGTCGCCGTCGGTTGTCTCTACTCGCCGCCTCCGATAAGGGAAGGTTGCTCCATATGGTAAGAGATCAGGTATCTTTGTGTATTCTTTTTGCTTTTTTATGGATGTTCTTACTAGTCATTTGCAAGAGAATGAACCTTGGTGTATGCTTTTGATTTTTTTATGGATGTTCTCACGAGACATTTGCAAGAGAAGGTATCTTGGTATATATTTTTGGGTTTTGTTATGAATGTTCTCCCTAGACATTTTCAAGAGAATGAACCTTGGTGCATGCTTTTGCTTTTGTTATGGATGTTCTCACTAAACATTTGTAAGAGAATGTATCTTTGTGTAGGGGTGTCAATATTTGACACAACACGAAAACCCGACCCGGACCCGACCCGATTTCAAAACGGGTCGGGTTCGGGTTGACCCGGCGGGTTGTCGGGTCAACCCGCCAACCCGTTTAATTTAAATAAATTCAAAATTCCGCCCCCTGCCCGAAATCGAATCGGTGAATCTCGATTCCCGCGTGACCGGCTGGCTGCCCTGCTGCCCGTGGTCCGGCTTTAGGCTTCCCCCCGCGAGACCGCTGCCCGCGGTCCGGCTGCCCGCGGTAGTTTTCTTCGCGACTTCGCATCAAGCCGTCAATCCAGGCAGCCAGCGCATCGCGTGACCACTGCCCGTCGGTCATTTTGTTCGCGTTTCGTTCGCGTCAAGTTGCTGGACGCCGGACGTCGTGGCCGCTGGACACCGCTGCCCGCTGCCGCCAGACGCTGCTGCCGCGCTGAAGCTGATCCCGGCCTTGCCGTGTCCGCGGGTCGGGTCGGGTTGACCCGAACCCGAAGCGGGTCGAGTTCGGGTCC